CACACACACACACACACGATTCATTCAATAAGGTAAATATAAAGTAAATGAAAATTAAAACCAGTTTTTACCTCAGATTGACAAATGTAAAAAAAAAGGTGCAGTATTTTGAGATAGTGGGGAAAATTCCTTTCTTAGAGAGAAATGCTGAGAACTCAAATTGTTACAGTGCTAATGGAGGGTAATTCGGCGAAATCTTTCAAAATGCAAAATGTACCAACTTGAAAGTATTTTAGCAATCCCCAAGATAAGTTAAAAATGCCATCTGTTTGAGAGAAGTTAGAATGGAAGTTCCAAAACACCTTTCTGTAAAATGCAGCCAAATTAAAATGGAGAGGGAAATTGAGAGCCTCAGTGCTTATATTGGAAAAGGAGAAAGACCTATCAAAATTTAAGAAGTTTTGGAAAAGAACAGCAGGAGAAACCTAGGCTTGGTGCCATGGCTCACATCTATAATCCTAACACTGTGGGAGGTTGAGGTGGGAGGATTGCTTGAGCCCAGGAGTTCAAGATTACCCTGGGCAACATAGTGAGACCCTGGCCTTTACTAAAAAAAAAAAAAAAAAAAAAAAAAAAAAAAAAAAAAAAAAATTTGGGTGGCTGGGCACTGTGGCTCACGCCTGTAATCCCAGCACTTTAGGAGGCCAAGGTGGGCAGATCACTTGAGGCCAGGAGTTGAGACTAGCTTGGACAAAATGGTGAAACCCCATCTCTACTAAAAATACAAAAATTAGCCTGGTGTGGTGACATGTACCTGTAATTCCAGCTACTCAGGAGGTTGAGGTAGGATAATCGCTTGAACCTGGGAGGCAGAGGTTGCAGTGAGTAGAGATCACGCCCCTGCACTCCACCCTGGGCAACAGAGTGAGACTCCATCTCAAAAAAAAAAAAAAAAAAAAATTAGGGCTGATGGCATGTGCTTGTGGTCTCAGCTACTCACAAGGCTGAAGTGGTAGGATCACTTGAGCCCAGAAGGTTGAGGCTGCAGTGAGCTGTGTATGCATCACTGCACTTCAGCTTGGGGGACAAACTGAGACTCTTGTCTCAAAAGGAAAAAAAAAAAAGAATGAGACCTTCTCATATACTGCTGGTGGGAATATATGGTACAGATACATTGGAAAACAATTTGTTACTACCCAATAATGTTAAAATATGTTAGGTGACCCAGCAATCCCACTCCTACCTACATGCCCTGAGAACTCTCACACATGGACACAAGAAGATTTCACTAGGAATGTTCACAGCAGCATTATTTTTATTTATTTATTTATTTATTTATTTATTTATTTACTTATTTAAGACGGTATCTTGCTCCGTCGCCCAGGCTCGGTCGCCCAGGCTGGAGTGCAGTGGCGTGATCTCGGTTCACTGCAAACTCCGCCTCCCGGGTTCACATTATTCTCCTGCCTCAGCCTCCCGAGTAGCTGGGACTATAGGCACCCGCCAACACGCCCGGCTAATTGTACGTATTTTTAAAAGTAGAGACAGGGTTTCACCGTTTTATCCAGGATGGTCTCGATCTCCTGACCTCGTGATCCGCTCGCCTCGGCCTCCCAAAGTGTTGGGATTACAGGCGTGAGCCACCGCACCCGGCTTTTTTTGAGACAGAGTCTCACTCTGTTACCCAGGCTGGAGTGCAGTGGCACAATCTCGGCTCACTGCAACCTCCACCTCAGGGGTTCAAGCAATTCTCCTGCCTCGGCGTTCTGAGTAGCTGGGATTACAGGTGGCTGCCACACCAGCCTCATTTTTGTATTTCAGGTAGAGACCGGGTTTCGCCATATTGGCCAGGCTGGTCTCAAACCCCTGACCTCAAGTGATTTTCCTGCCTTGGCCTCCCAAAGTGCTACGATTACAGGCGTGAGCCACGGTGCCCAGTCATGTTTTTTTTTTGGTATCGTTTGTTTGTTTCTAAGACAGGGTCTCGCTTTGTCAGCCTCCACCTCTTAGGCTCAGATGATCCTTCCACCTCAGCCTCCTCAGTAGCTGGGACTACAGTTGCACGTCACCATACCCAGCTAATTTTTTGTATTTTATGTAGCGAGAAGGCTTTGCCATGTTGCCCAAGCTGGTCACGAGCTCCTGGCCTCAAGCCATCTGCCCACCTTGGCCTCCCAAGTGCTGGGATTACAGGGGAAGCCACCGTGCCCGGCTGACATGGGTTTACAAGGATCTGCAAGGGTCAGATTAAGCTTTGTGTGGATTAAGAACGGAGCGACTTGCTCTTTCAGAGGCTGCCCAGCTGTGGTAATTTTCCGCGGTTCTTCCACCCTCTCGGTCATTTTTACTTCAACTGTGAAATGCGGGTAGGCCTCTAAGGTCCCCCGTTTCCATTCTCTGTATTCCTCATGACCATCCAGACAAAGCTGCTACTGCCATCCCCCTAACGGATGAAGAAGGCTAAGTTACTTTCCTAAGGCCACAGAGACAGTAAATGCACCTTCCACGTTGGAACCCCGGTAGGGTGGCTCCAGTCCCCTGCTCTGAACCCCCCAACTCTACAGCCTACCCCATCACCCTAATAGACCCTGCAGTGCAGTGGTGATGCGTCTGCTCCGGCGTCAGACCAGCCCCGCCATGCAAGCTGTGGCATCCTGGGTTAGTCACTTGCGTCCCTTCAGCCCATTTTCTTATGTTAGCAATGTACACCCCAAACACTTGCCTCAGCCAAAACAACACTTGCCTGACCAGGAGGAAAGATGCGCGAGTCTCAAACAACTGCGTGACTTTCCGTCTGCGGGGGGCGGGGGTGGATTTTTGGGGAAAAGGGACGCGGAGCCCGAACACCGCGGCTCCAAGGTCTTCCCGCTCCTTCCTTGCCTGGTTTCCTCCATTCCCCCGCGGGGCGACCCTCGGTCTCCTACCGTGTCCCCGCTCCCGCGCCCCCTGCCCCCAATTTTTCTTCCTCCCACGGGGCTGAAAAAAGGTCGTGGTCCCTTTAAGGCCCGCCCCTCCCTCTCCCAAAACTTCCCAGTGTCTGCTCTTTTCGATCTGGGACGGCCGGTCAGGCTCGCCGCCGAGCTGGTAGGGGCTGGGGGCGAGGGGTGCGGGAGGGTGACCGGGGCACTGGCGGGCGGCGCCGCGCGCGACCGGGGGCCGGGGTCCGAGCAGCGGGGTGGGGGCGGGGCGGCGGCCGGGAGCGCTGGGGGTGCGGGTCACCAGGCCGGCCGGGCGGCCTGGGACGTGCGGCGCAGGGGACACCGTACCGCCGCGCTCCGGCCGTGCGCGCCGGCGCGAGGGGCGTCCGGGCCGGGCGCGGGGGCGGGGAGGGGAGGGGCCCCCCTCTCCCCCTCCCCCCACCGCATTCCGCTGACGTTGGGACCGAGCGACCCCGCCCTTCGTCGCGACCGGCCCCGCCTCCTCCCGTCACGCGGGTCACGTGCTTCAGACGCTGCCCCGCCTCCGTCGCTGTTCAGTCAGCGTGTTCGGATCTTCCCGGCGTCCGCGAGAGCTGACCGAGGTCCCCAGCAGGGCCCCCTCCCCCAACTTTATTTTCCTTCACCGGCAGAGCCACCACGCCTGTCCCCCTCTTGTATTGCCATAGACCCCATTTTTTCTGAGACTGGGTCTCGCTCCGTCGCCCAGGCTGGAGTGCAGGAGCGCGATCACGGCTCACTGCAACCTCGAACCCCGGGGCTCAAGCGAGCCTCCCGCCTCGGCCTCCCGAAGTGCTGGGATTACAGGTGTGAGCCACCACACACGGCCTCCATTTCAAACTTAGTTTCCACCTGGACCTCAACTCGAAAGCCCCCATCAGCCAGGCGGAAAGGTCCTGGAGCACTTTTGAGGCGCCCCCCGCATTTCTCACGACGCTAGCTTCGCTATTTTTTTCCCCCTTCGGCGACATCGTCACTTGCCAATAGCTTCGATAAGGTGTTCCCCCCGCCAACCCGGCGCGGGCAGCCCCATAATGTTATGTTCCGTAGGACAGGATCCCGGGTTAATCCCCGTTTGACCCCTCCGCTTGCGCGTGATAACTGGGGCGCTTGTCTCCTCCACCCCCAGGCTTCGCCAGTTGGGTTTAGTTGGAGTCTGGAGATAGCCTCCGACATTCTCTCGGGGCAGTGCGGATGGTCTTACCCCGCCCTTGAGGAAGAAAGGTCTGACGCAAGCACAGATCACAAGAACGCCTCCCCTGTGCAGGGGGCTTGCACTGGGCGCTTGGTAGGTGGCCACCCTCTCCAAGGTCGGGGCCAGGGCCTCCTGTGGTGCTCAGAGGGGTCGAGCTGTCAGGTAAAAATCACTGGCCCGAGTTACGGCTGGGGGTCTGGGATGGCAGGGGCCTGTGAATTTAGATCGCACAGACTAGATGACTTGGCCCTTAGCTCCCGCAGGAGGGGTAGTGGAGGGACTATCCCAGGTGGAAGGGACTGCACGGGCACAGATCGAGAGTGCTCGGAAGAGCCTTCTCCCAAGGGAAACCGAAAGGCGTTGCAGCTGAATTTAGAACTGGATAGGGTCCGAAGACAGTCGGCAGCAGCGAGTGGTTTTATACTGAGGAAAAGGCTAAGATTTGGGATTTTAAGAATTCTTCCTAGAGGTAGAGAGGAACAGGGTATAGTGATGGCGACAGAGATACCCTGGGAGTTCCTGTCAATCTTCATCTAGCCTTCCGGCGCACACACAGCGGCCGCTCTGTAAATACTCCCAGTATTCCAGGCCGTCACTCTCTTGAGGGGTGGCCCCGCCTCTGGGCGGTGCCTGAAAGCATATTTGCGCATGCCTTCTCGCCTTCGCTGGTTTCGTAGACCGCACCAAAGAGCGCCTACGCTGGGGTGGGGCTCCCCATTTTATCCAATCAGAGCGTATCAGTAGTCCTACCATCTGGTGAGAGGGTGCGCTCCACTCTCCATTGACCAATCAGTGGAGACGCAGAAGAATGGGCATCTGTAGTAACCACTGGAGAGAGACCAAAAAAGGGCGGGGCTTCCTTGTCTCCTTGCGAAGTGGCGCGGGAAGGTAGTCTTTGTGACTGGGTACTGACGGATTAGCGAAGAGACCAATGAAAGTGGGAGGGAGGCGGGGATTCTTGGGAGGTTTAGAGCGTCGCTCCAATCAGGTGCTTTTAGGGAGGCCAGCCGCGCCAGAAATCCGACCTATGAAATTGGATTTTATTTTAAGGCGGCGGGGTCGACGGAATGACTGGCAGAAAGCGATCACCTATAAAGAGTGTCTCAGACAAACAAGGGCGGGCCCTCCTGCAGAACGGCGTGGGCAATGTCCAATAAGCGCGCAAGGCGTGTGGAGGCCTACCCTCCCCCCGCGGCGGGACCAGTGGCTCCCCCTATCGGGTGGGGGCGGCGGGTGACGGGCGTGTCCCTCCCCCAATGAGAGGCGGGGGGAGGCGGGTTCTGCGCCGCCATGTCGCGGAGGCTGCTGCCCCGGGCGGAGAAGCGGCGTCGGCGGCTGGAGCAGAGGCAGCAGCCGGACGAGCAGCGGAGGCGGTCGGGAGCGATGGTGAAGATGGCGGCGGCGGGCGGCGGAGGCGGCGGTGGCCGCTACTACGGCGGCGGCAGTGAGGGCGGCCGGGCCCCTAAGCGGCTCAAGACTGACAACGCCGGCGACCAGCACGGAGGCGGCGGCGGTGGCGGTGGAGGAGCCGGGGCGGCGGGCGGCGGCGGCGGCGGGGTGAGGCCAGGGCCCTAGGAGCCGGGAAGGCCGTAAAGTGCGGGACAATTTCCCATCTTGAGGGCATTTTATTTTTTGAGGGGGCTTCTGCGCACGCGCTCAGGCCATCGCGCCGTTGACGGTGTGGGGGAGGGGCGGCCGTTGGGCAAACGGCGGGGTTTGCGCGAGGACAGGCGCCTGCGCGTGCGCGCGGTCCGGAGCTGGTTGGGGGGGGGGGCGCGGAGGAAGTAGCTCGTGAGGCGAGCGGCCCAGGGCGCAGGCGCCGCGGGCTGGCGTGTGGGGGCCGGGCACGAGGCCCGGCCGGTTTTTTTCCCCTTTATCATTTTCTTCCCTGGCCCCATGCGCAGGCGCAGTTCTCCCGCCCGGCCTCGTGGGCGGTTGGGGGAGCGCCTCGTGAGCGGGAACGGGTGGGCGGCGGCCTTGTCCTCTGGAGTGGGGAATTACGTCCGATGGCAGCTTAATCTCTGAGGCCCAGCCTTGTTTCTATACAGCAATGGATGTGTTTAGTCTAAATATTAGAACAGAGTATCTCCGTTATTTTTGTAGACATTGAAAATGGGAAGAGGATTTGTTAAATGCACTTTTAGCCTTTTAGGAGTTGAGCGAAACTTTGAAACTATCACAAGTTCCGGGGATTTGATAAACGAAACTGCTCCCTGGCCGTGCTGGAATTTCGGTCCCTTGTAATCACTCCCTCCGAAAACACTAGTCGTTGCTTTTGGAGTGCGGCCCAGTCCCCACTCCTTCCAAGATCTTGAAGTCTTCCAGTGCAGCCCATTTGCAGGGTTTTCTGGGATTTAGGGGTTGTGAGTTGCTAGCGTTTTAATCTTCGTCAGGCCTTGTCCCACACGTTTTAAAGACATCTTAATTGAAAGTCCTTAATGCTCCTCTGTGAGGTTGGGAGAGATCCTGGGATTCCCGATTTACAGAGGAGGAAATTGGCCAGGAGAGAGATGAGGTAAATTACTGTAGGTGGCACTGCTAGTGAGGGGCAGGGCTGGAGTTAGAACTCCCATTTGTGGGAACTGCTAACCTGGCGGGAGTGCCTCCCGCTGTGGTTCGGGTGGTTCATTCCTGAAATAGAATCCAATTCTACCCCCATTCCACGCTCTTCTGCCCAGTGATTCTCAGACAGGGGGCTGGTCCCAGAGTCCAGGAGAGGTGAGAGAGAGTTAATTTTCCTCCTGATGACCAGAGGCTTTTGTCTGTGGATGGGTGTAAGATACTTCTAGGAAGGAGCAGTCTTGGTTCTTAATGGTATGGATTGGAGTTCCTGGTCTTTCTAAAAGACCTTCCGTCTGGGCGTGGGGGCTCATGCCTGTATTCCCATCACTTGGGAGGCTGAGGCAGGCAGATCACCTGAGGTCAGGAATTCAAGAACAGCCTGGCCAACATGGCAAAATACCATCTCTACTAAAAATTCAAAAACATTAGCTGAGTGTGGTGGCGGGGGCCTGTAATTCCAGCTACCCGGGAGGCTGAGGCAGGAGAATCGCTTGAACCTGGGAGGTGGAGGTTACAGTAGACCAAGATCATGCCATAGCACTCCATCCTGGGTGACAGAGTGAGACTCCGTCTCAAAAAATAAATAAGAGACCTTTCTTGTCCTGTTTTTCCTTAGTCTGACCTAGGCAGTAATTTCCAAAGCAGATTTTGGTGGGAGGGTGATTCAAGACTAGAAGGGGTCAAGACTGGCCTGGCTGCCCCAGTTTCTGGGGCACGTGTTGTTTTTTGCCCTGACTGAACCTAGGTGTGAGTGGTGGCGAACAGGTGTACTTAGCTAGGTGATGGTGGCTGAGCCAGTGAAAGGGCAAGGAATTTGGGGCACATGCAAAGGGGATGTCCTCATTCAAACTGTAGCAGATAGCTGTTAGAGCCCTTCCTCCCAGTGTGTCTCCTTCTCCAGCTACTCTTTTCTCATGTTTCCTTGGTCAGGTGGGCCAGTGGGAAGAGAGGGGGGTCCCTGGAAGAACGTAATATTTGGGACTTGTGTGGTCCTCTCTCCATCTGCCTTCCTCAGAAGCTACAGCCAGAGCCAGAGGGCAAGTGACCACCTACTCAGGACCACTGTTCTGCTGACCCAGAATCCTTTTGGGCTGATTGACTTCAATTGCTGCCCTTCGTCTGTTCTGTGCATCCTTCTTGGATGACATCCAACTGTCTTATCTGACTGGGTCTGCAACAGCACAAAGGCCAGTGGGCCGTCATCTTGTACAGCAAGAAAAGAATTCTTGTTTTTGCTTCCTTTCTCAGGAGAACTACGATGACCCGCACAAAACCCCTGCCTCCCCAGTTGTCCACATCAGGGGCCTGATTGACGGTGTGGTGGAAGCTGACCTTGTGGAGGCCTTGCAGGAGTTTGGACCCATCAGGTACTGGGCTTGGAGGCCAGGAGTTGGGCTTCCACAGTTGACTTTTTGGTGCCCTTGTGTGTCCACGATTTCTGGTTGGAAGTAGTGATTTCGTTGCCATACTGGTCTAGGTTCTGTGGCCCCTCTGCTTTTGGGTTGGCCATTGTACTTTTTGTCAGATTACAGCAAGTTCCATGATCCTTTTTCTTTCCTTCCTTTTTCCTTTGCCTTGTAGTTTCTCGTCAGTGTTCTCTTTTTTTTTTTTTTAAGACAGAGCAAGGTCTCGCTCTATGGTCCAGGCTGGAGTGTAGTGGCGCAGTCTTACCCAGGCTCAGGCAATCCTTCTGCCTCAGCCTTCTGAGTAGCTGGGACTACAGGCATGCACCACCATGCCTGGCTAATTTTTATATTTTTTTGTAGAGGCAAGGTTTTGCCATGTTGGCCAGGCTGGTCTCAAACTCCTGGGCCCAAGCAATCTGCCCACCTAGCCCTCCCAAGTTTTAAGGTTAGTGGCATGAGCCACTGCTCCTGGCCAGTGTTCTTTCATTCAGCAAGTAGTTACTGAATATTTGGTGCATGCTCTGTATTGCAGATACAGTAGTGAGCTGTATCTGGATTCCTTCTCTTAGAAAGTTGCTCTCCTAGAGTGATTTACACTGTGAGAGCGTAAGCTCAAGAAGCCATCCTGTGGGCGGCATCTGTTAGTGTGGTGAGGAGAGGTCAGGAAGGCTTCCCAGAGGAGGTCCAGCTCAGCTAGACCTCTTTGGCCTTTGGTGGTACTAGTGTCATGGGGTGTTCAGGTTGGGGAACCATAACCATGATAGGGCTGCAGAGGAGTCCAGAGACTGTGGAGGAGTCAGTTCTCAAAAAATCAAATGATACCCTCCTCCTGTCTCCATTTTCCTGAGAGGATTGAAACCTGTGTTCTCTTTGCCAGCTATGTGGTGGTAATGCCTAAAAAGAGACAAGCACTGGTGGAGTTTGAAGATGTGTTGGGGGCTTGCAACGCAGTGAACTACGCAGCCGACAACCAAATATACATTGCTGGTCACCCAGCTTTTGTCAACTACTCCACCAGCCAGAAGATCTCCCGCCCCGGGGACTCGGATGACTCCCGAAGTGTGAACAGTGTGCTTCTCTTTACCATCCTGAATCCCATTTATTCGATCACCACGGTGCGTGCCAGCAGGCATTTCTTGTGAGGTCTCCCTTCTTCCTTTTCTCCCCTCGTTCCCTCCCCTAAGCCAGACTGACCTGGCAGTGCCTCTTCATCTTGCCTGTGTTTACTTTTGCAGGATGTTCTTTACACTATTTGTAATCCTTGTGGCCCTGTCCAGAGAATTGTCATTTTCAGGAAGAATGGAGTTCAGGCGATGGTGGAATATCCTTTGCTGGACAATAGGTGTTCCTTAGGGTAGGGACTCTTGCAGGGCTTGACAGTGGTCATTCTTTGAGCCAGCATGTGTCTACTGGCCATGGGAGTGGCTGCCATGTACCGGATGCCTTCACAGAGCCCAGTGACTGAGTGGGGAGGCTGTTAAAGAATGAGGCATATTGTGTGGACGTGCAGATCTTAAGGGAGAGAGCATGTATTAGAAGATACAAAGGAATTTATTTTTGTTTTCTTTTTATTATTTATTTATATTTTGAGATGGAGTTTAGCCCTTGTTGCCTGGGCTGGAGTGCAGTGGCGCGATACTGGCTCACTGCAACCTCTGCCTCCTGGGTTCAAGCAATTCTTCTGCCTCAGCTTCCCTAGTAGGATTATAGGCCCCCACCACCATGCCCAGCTAGTTTTTTGTATTTTTAGTAGAGATGTGGTTTCACGTTGGCCAGGCTGGTTTCGAACTGACCTCAGGCAATCCACCCACCTCATCCTCCCAAAGTGGTGGGATTACAGGCGTGAGCCACCGCACCTGCTAGGAATTTTTTTTTTTTTTTTTTTTTTTTTTTTTTTGAGACGGAGTCTCGCTCTGTCGCCCAAGCTGGAGTGCAATGGCCGGATCTCAGCTCACTGCAAGCTCCGCCTCCCGGGTTTACGCCATTCTCCTGCCTCAGCCTCCCGAGTAGCTGGGATTACAGGCGCCCGCCACCTCGCCCGGCTAGGTTTTTTTTTTTTTTTTTTTTTGTATATTTTTAGTAGAGACGGGGTTTCACCGGGTTAGCCAGGATGGTCTCGATCTCCTGACCTCGTGATCCGCCCGTCTCGGCCTCCCAAAGTGCTGGGATTACAGGCGTGAGCCACCGCGCCCGGCCAGGAATTTATTTTTAAAGATGTTTATTCTAAGCCAAATACGAGTGACCAAGATCTGGGGAACATAGTCTCAAGAGGTCGTGAGAAAATGTACCCTTGGGAAAAGGAATTTATTTAAAAGGGGATGTGGGGCCGGGTGTAGTGGCTTATACTTGCAATCCCAGCACTTTCAGAAGCCGAGGCGGGCGGATCACCTGAGGTCAGGAGTTTGAGACCAGCCTGGCCAACATGGTGAAACCCTGTTTCTAGTAATACAAAAATTAATCAGGCATGGTGGTGAACGCGTGTAATCCCAGCTACTCTGGAGGCCAAGGCAAGAGAATCGCTTGGGCCTGGAAGGCGGAGATTGCAGTGAGCCGAGACACTGCCACTGCACTCCATCCTGGGCAACACAGTGAGACTCCATATCCAAAAAAAAAAAAAAGGCGCAGCATGTGTGAAGGTTTCTGAGGAGGTGATGACCTATTTCTATGAGCAAATAGGAGCTGATACTCAAGGTGAAGGAAACAGCCTTTGCAAAGGTCGTAAAGTCAGAAGGAGCTTGTGTTGGATGGAGAAACTGAAAGATCTGAGGATCGCAGAGTAGCTGGCAAGCAGACGGGTTTGGAAGAAGTTTTTAGGGCATCCTAGACAGCGATATGATGCTTGGGGCAGAGGCAGGAAAAAGCCACTGATGGACTTTCAGGGCAGAGCTGTAGTTGGGTGGTTGTTTCAGATTTAGTCGAAGGGCCAGAGGGCTGAGATGGAGAAGGTGGTGTGGCAGAAGAGGTTGCTAGTAGCCATGGGTGGGGGTGCAGATTATGAGAACTCTGGCCAGTAACTGCTCACCCAGGGCAGCGTTGAGTCCATCAACACCATTTTGGTCTCTCAACCTGAGGCTAGTGACTGGGCAGTGAGCTAATCCCAAAGCCTCCACCTGTACCACAGTCTTAGGATACCACCTTGTCCTTATCCCTCTCTGGGGTAACTTGAAGCCCTTCTCCAAGATCTCCTGTGATGTGACTTTCCTAAACTTGACTCACATTTGACTCTGTTCAAAGTGCCCAGCGGGCCAAAGCCTCTCTCAATGGGGCTGATATCTATTCTGGCTGTTGCACTCTGAAGATCGAATATGCAAAGGTACGTCTGGGAGGTGACTGATTGCCCCTCGTCAGCTTCCAGGTGAGCTGGGGCATGGCTGACCTCAAGCCTTGTCTTGTCCTTGCAGCCTACACGCTTGAATGTGTTCAAGAATGATCAGGATACTTGGGACTACACAAACCCCAATCTCAGTGGACAAGGTAATCATGATGGCCACTTTGTTCTAAACATACCTGCCTTGCCTTCACTCGACTAGTGCACTTCATAGGCCTGGGCTCAGGGTTATGTAATGCCATTGGGCTCCCCATGGACATGGGAGGGCCCTGGGGTCAGCTCTTGGACATCCTAGTGGGATAGGGGGCGTGAGAGGCCTCCTTGGGTCTTCACTGCTGCTTGGGGCCTTCCGATGCTGCCCAGGATACAGAGGCAAGGCAGAAGCCTGGACGGGTGGGGAGCAGGGCCTCACTGAGGATGAGGCATGGGGGTGGCCTTAGAAATCAGCAGTGGCTCTTTTGAGAGTCTGGTTAGGGTCACTGACTCCATTCTTGGTGGGCCAGGAATTGTCCTCTTGTTCTGTGTTGTTGAGAGGGTCTGATTTGGGGAAGTGACAGTATGGGGGGCAATGAGATCTCCCGGGCTCTTGCAGCGAGCCTTTGAGCAAGCTGACCCTGTGGAGGTGAGACACTCTGGATTGGACCAGGGCGGACATGCCTCACATCATTTGTAGAGGGGACGCAACATCTCTGCAGGTGGCCCAAATGGACAACCCCCTTCCTAGTGTCTGTCAAGAATGGTTTGCCTTTGGTAGCAGGGAGAGGTGGAGGATTGCCTATGAGAAACAGCGGCAGCCCCCCAACAAGACCATCCATCTCTGTGTCTGTCTTGGTCTGATACGTCGGACCAGGCCATGGGCTGAGGGAGGAGGCTCGATGCTGACATCGCACAGGCCCTGAGAGGCCAAAGCCCCCCATTCATAGGCAGGCCTGTCTTGCTCGCCCTTGCATCTGGGAAGCAGTGGGCAGGGTGGGCTAGACTCTCCCCAGGATCCTCACAGTGGGCCCTGTGGGCCTGGCTGCTCCCTCCAAAGGTCAGAGGCAAATTGGTGACCAAGTGAATGTACCAGAGCGGGCAATGGCATTACATGACTGCTAACAGAAACATGGCAACAACCATTTCTTCTCCAAGGAACATAAATAGAAGATGTGCAGACCGGCAGGGGCTAGTGGCAGGGGGCTGGCTGTGCATTGGTTTTGATGCCTCTCAGCTTTGGCAGCCCCAAGGCTGGGGCCCAAAAAAAAACGAGGGCTGATGAGGTGACCTGGAGTGAGGGCGGTGCTTCGCCACCCCTCAGGAACCATACTTCAGCGGCTCTGCCTCTGCACATTGCTCACCAACACACAGGGTAGAAAACCACTAGCTCTTCCTGGAGAGAACAGAACATGCAGCCTCCACCACGTCCCCAGAAACAGCTGCAGACTTGAGCTCACTACATCAAGAACACCACACCGCGCTCCAAGGAACAGCTACAAGCACAGAGACAGAGGCATACAGAGACAAAGAGAGAAAGAGACGCAACATGGCAGCAGACACTGCTTTTTTTATTAAACATTAAAAAAGTCAAAATCCAAGCAAACTTGAACCCGAGAATGTACACAGAAGTAGGAAACACAGAGAACAGAGCTGTCCCAGCCAGCCAGCGAGCGGTGCTCTTTTCGGAGAACGTTTCATAGACGGAAGTAGATTCCATGGGCCTCCAAGACAATAGGATCCTCTCTCCATTCCTCGCCATATGGGTTTTGTTTTTTAAGTCCTTTGGTTTGGGGAGGGCCTTCTTTTTTTTCTGTTTTGATATTTTTATTTTTTCTGCAGTCACCGGCTGCCAACATAATCTGCACCAACTGGAGATCAGAAACAAAAAAATTTAACCACAACAAAAAAAATCAAAAAAAACAAAACAGACCTAAAACCAGACAGCCAAACAGCTCAGAGGCACACAGTTACCTGCTGCCGGGTAACCAGGTGCGCTCCCAAGGCCAAAAGCGCGAGCGTAGTGGGGCCACTGGCACACCTCATACCAGGAGACACGCACACGGAGCGCTACACAGCCAGAAGCACCGCACCACCGCACTGCAGCACATATGTGAGGAGGTGACAACATGGAGGGACACTACCCACTTCATACACCTTTATTTCCACTTTTCTGATATCTTCTGAGGACAGAACATCTGTGAGCCATTTTTGATTTAATCAAAATACTGACTTTTAAAACAATTCTTTAAAAAAATTGTAGCGGATGTGTACCGTGACTTGTATTTATGACTGTAAAACCATGTGATGCAGGGTCGCAGTGTATGTTTGATGGGACGCCATCTTTCAGAACTGTGCTAACTCACTGTTGAAGCGTCCAATGGTAAGAGAAAATACAGATTTGTTTTTTGTGACAAATGGACATTGTACTCTGTACTTCTGCTGTAAGTAGTCCTTTTCCATCTTTGTAATGACTGATAACAAAACCCAGGCCGGGTGGCAGGAAAGGGCAGTGGTTTCGAGCCCTGGGTTTTGGAGTCAGCCAGACCTGGGTTCAAATCTGGTTCAGTCACTGACTTGCTTTGTGACTTTGGGCCAAGCGTCTTTTAACTGCTCAGTTAAAAGTTAATGACTCAGTCTTCTTATCTGTAAAATGGGGCTGAAATATCAGAACCTACCTCATAGGGTTGTTGTGAGGAATTTGAGAAGCTGTGATGTCTGTAAAGCGCTTAGCCCAGTGCCTGCCACTTAAGCGCTAAGTTAACGGCAGTGATTACAAACTGCTGGGGTCGGGTGGATCTGCGCCATTGTTGGGTGTGGGAATGTCGATACCTTGTACATGATTGCTTCTTTGAACTGATTTTGCCATTGCCCTGCTTGTCAGCTCCTACAGTCAGTCCCTCTTGGGCTGGCGGGACTGGGAGGGAGGGGGGACTGGGATTAAGAAAGAAGGGATCTACAGAGACAGTCTGGAGCTCCTAAAACCTTGGGGGCTTTGTGGGGCAAGCTTGCTTGCTTCCCTCCTGGGTTATTTTCCTGTTCTTAATCTACTCTCCCTTTATTGGGAGTCAGTTTAGAAAGCTGCTTTTGGTCCTCTATAATATATCAGTTTCTGTAGCAGCTTCAGGTTCCCCAGAGGGCCTGGGAGCTAGGCTTTCTCCCAGGGTCAGGGCAGGTGAGAGCACAGAACCTGGCCTTGTCCTTCACAGAACAAGACCAACCCTTTGGTGTGAGCGGGGGAGGGAGTGGGCACCAGCTTTGAGGCTCGGGCTTCATGCCCGCCATAGGTCAGATCACAAAAGGAGGCCCCGCAGCCCTTGAGGAAGGGGGGGTTTGCAGGAGCTGGGGGACTCTCATCAGCCTGTGCAGTCAGGAGGGAGGGAGAGACCCCAATTTCTGAGTGAGACTCCTAACTCTTTTCTCTGTCCACAGGTGACCCTGGCAGCAACCCCAACAAACGCCAGAGGCAGCCCCCTCTCCTGGGAGATCACCCCGCAGAATATGGTGAGGGCAGGGGGTTCCCCTCCGTGGACTCCCGTGGCTCATGTGCCTCTGCCCGCCGCCCGCCGTGCAAATTCTCACCCGTCCTCCCTCTCTTTCCTTCCCACCCCTCAGGAGGGCCCCACGGTGGGTACCACAGCCATTACCATGATGAGGGCTACGGGCCCCCCCCACCTCACTACGAAGGGAGAAGGATGGGTCCACCAGTGGGGGGTCACCGTCGGGGCCCAAGTCGCTACGGCCCCCAGTATGGGCACCCCCCACCCCCTCCCCCACCACCCGAGTATGGCCCTCACGCCGACAGCCCTGTGCTCATGGTCTATGGCTTGGATCAATCTAAGATGAACTGTGATCGAGTCTTCAATGTCTTCTGCTTGTATGGCAATGTGGAGAAGGTGAGCTGCTGCCAGGCCCGCTGGGTTCCTCACTGAGCCTTGTATCTTGCCAGTCAGCACAGGGGGAAGAACCAGGGGGAGCCTGGCGTGGCGCCAGGCGGGCAGGCCCGGAGTGAGTGACTCAGTGAGCCCAGGCAGCCTGCTTGCAGATGGGCTTTGTTTGGTCCTCACTGCATGTGGTTGTTTTGTTTTTGAATTACGAATGTTTAAAAAAAATGTCTTTATCACATAAAAGTACTAATACTAGCACATCAGTATAGATTTATAAAACATAAAAATGAACCCATTGTAGTGAAACACTATCGTTTAAGGATTTCCTCCTGAAAACTTGAAGAGCTGGCAACACTAGGCCTTCTGCCTTCCCATGGGATAGTTGACTGCGGCTGGTGGTGGCTAACTGTCTACCTGAAACCATGTGATGTTTTCCTTACATTAAACCCATCTGGGTCTTGGGAGCCTTTGTGTAGCTCCTGACTTGGCCCGTTACTTAGAGTAGTTCATAACACAGGTGAAGTGTTGTTAGTCATCAGGTACTGTTAAAGGTGTTTTACATGTAGTGACCTGTGTAATTTCTCACATTAGTCCTTAATGAGATGGACGGGGGAAGTGGAGGACGGGGGGCTCAAATAACCCACCCAGATTCACATAGCCTTTAAGTGAAGCAGGACTCAGAGTCAGACTGCCTGGCTCCAGAGCCGGCACTGCTCCATTGTAACCTAGCTGAAGGAGTATTTGACCTTGTGACGGTAGACACAGCCATCCATAGATCACACGTGTGTGTAACAGGCAAAATGGTGAAAATGGCTGATTTGATTTCTCATTCCTGCACAGTTTTCTGTCGTGCTTCACTAAATGACTTACTGTTGGGTTATGTCCCACAGTTAAAAACATGACCACTAGGCCGGGCGCGGTGGCTCAAGCCTGTAATCCCAGCACTTTGGGAGGCCGAGACGGGCGGATCACGAGGTCAGGAGATCGAGACCATCCTGGCGAACTCGGTGAAACCCCGTCTCTACTAAAAAATACAAAAAAAAAAAAAAACTAGCCGGGCGAGGTGGCGGGCGCCTGTAGTCCCAGCTACTCGGGAGGCTGAGGCAGGAGAATGGCGTGAACCCGGGAGGCGGAGCTTGCAGTGAGCTGAGATCCGGCCACTGTACCCCAGCCCGGGCGACAGAGCGAGACTCCGTCTCAAAAAAAAAAAAAAAAAAAAAA